ATTTTCTTTCTGTGTCTAGCGTACTTGGGGGTATGAGTGCAGTAAATAACCTTGCCTTTACCTTTATACTTTGGTCTCAGAGGAAATGACCAATTTAAGCTTTTTTCAGCTCATACGTGACGAGACTACGGTAAGGTAGAAATCACTTAAGAACTTAAAAAGTAATGCAGTGACGTTTTATGTATAAAGTCAGTTTATGAGATTAGAATTTGAATGCTCTTACAAATGATATAAATTTTACTTACTCAATCATTCCATCTTTTTTTGTTTGTTTTACTCTTCTACATCAGGTTCTTTTAGAAACATTGCGGCTCAGAAGAAAACAAACTTACAAATGTGTTGTAACATGTTTCGGCGTTTCTTTGAATTATGTTTAGGCATGGCCTTTTTCTAATACAGGGTGTCCCAAAAGTTCGTTCCTATGCCTCTTGTGCCTCCCAGCGTCTTAAACCCTGTCCCAAAGGTTCGTTCCTATACTTTATAAGTCTGCAATGCATTACGACTGGACTTAATAAGCAAATCTTTTGCACAAAAGTTGCCTTGTCTTTCATTGTATTAAATATTTCATAATTTTTGTGTCATCTTTTGACTCGATGTATTCGATTTTTGTTTTTTTGCCCCAAAGGTAGGCGTGTGCGTGTATGTTTTCCCGCCACATATTATTTTTGTAGCCTGAATTTCATCCGATTACTTCGAGTCGTTATTACTCCCTCAGTAACGTCTGAATCGACCGGCTGTCCAGTGACATCACTACTCCTTTGCTTTAATTCATGCAAAAAGTAAAACACGATTTTTAAGTGGCAAACCGAGAAATATCGTTTGGAATGGCTACAATGCATGATACAAAATTGCTCTACTTTCTTCGATTGTAATTCATGAGTTTAAGGTTCAAACAATCAACTGTATGGAGTACTGAACTCTGAACTGGTTGCAATCACAATTAATTGAAAAGAGACTATTTGGTCCTTAACGAAGAAAAAAAAGATCAAGAGCCATAATGGCTCTTACCTTGATTCAAACGTTAGCCATTGTAGTTCTTGAAAGTCAGGTTTAATATGCTTACGATGAATAGTTCCAATAACAGACCTATTCGGCTAACTCAGTGTTGTGCCAAATTCAAATAATCCGGGGCTAAGATTCTTTGTGTATTGTATTTGCATTATAATGTGGCATTCACATTTAAATGATATGAAAATTCCTGAAACGAAACCTTTTATTTCCAAAGGTTTTGAATTGTACATATTATTATACCGGGAGCCGATCATCGGCTCCTGATTATACATATTCATCAATAGTACATGTGCATGAGCCAAATTCAAAATTTGGGTACATCTTCGACAGACTAAACGTCTTATGCATTTTTGCAAAGGCGCATGTCGAAAGATACTAAAAAACAATGTTAGACGTTTTTTTCGCAGTTTAAGGGGATAATCAGTACGTTATTTTTGGGCACCCTCTATAGTGCAAGAAAGTAGACATAAGAAAAGAAGGGCCTGCTATTTGCATCTCTTTACGACTTTTCATCTGTCACGAAAACCTGACGCTTTATATATTTCTAGTGGATCAATCAAGGTTTCGGGTTTGTCGTTGTTACCATGGCAACCAAAATGTCTGGAACACGAATAGTTTTTAAAGAGAGGAAGATCTCAAAAAGCTCAGTTGATATTTCTAACAGACGTTTTACCTCTCTACCACAAGCTATACAGAAGTTTATTTATGGCGGCTAATAATTTGGCTGAAAAGTTGCCAGCTTCTAAAATCCACCAAATAATTATAACGGTTGCTCTTGCGGAAATCGGCATCGTAACGGTGAGCATGTGTCTTCATGTGTGACAAAGCTCGATATACCAGTACATGTGTTGTTCAGGAAAAGAGCCGGACACCGGACCCGAAAGAACGATGGAAATTAAGCTTAATGTCTGATATGAACAGCCACCGAGTTTGGAGAAATCCAGTAGACAAACCTTCGGAGCATCTTTGCCTACTAAAAAAGCTATTACAGCTGTTCTAGATTCGGGATTCAGTGTGAAGTCGCTACTTAATTAATTGGCGTAATTCTTAGCCTGCGTAGTAGGCGACGGAAGAAATCTAACCGGTGTCTGGCATGCAGACTAAGTAGCTCTGATTTTTCAAACCTTAAGCCAATAGAACACATTTTCTTCGATGCATGCGTTGTGGGTGTTGACTGCTTAATAACGCAATGAGTCAGTTATCACGGCCCAGCTTATCAGAAATTTGTTAACGCCAGCTGCCGAAAGAAATGGACAAAAGGGCTTATATATAGTTGGCGTCCCTTTCCCTCACGGAGCAGCCTTCCTCTCTTTTCTCCCCCCCCCCCGATCCCCCACACCTCTCGACCCCTGCCATGCAGGCTGAAAGAAATTTCCGCAGAATTTTGCTTAAAACTATTCAGTTTTGGGCCGGCTACTTAACCATGTACTAAAAATTTGCTAAAATCCGTCCAGTGGGCATTTGAAATTTGACAGTAAATATTTGCAGCTTTAAACGCCGGGTACCCAGTCTTAGCAATATCGCATGCTCAACAACATCACATAAAGTTTTGTGTAGTTCAGTTAGTTAAAGAGGCCGACATAAAGGGACACAGTCAGCTGATGCACATGCGCATAAGATATCATATCCTAGATGATGTACATATCACAAGAAACGCGTGTGAAACAGAAAGTGTGAGGCGCATCCTTTGCAATATCTAAACAAACCTTGTGGAGTCGAAGTAATTACAAGTCAAAATCGTGATTGTAGACCCTGATTCGTATTAGAGCACCCATTTTCTGATACCATGGAGAATCAAGACCCGTGATGGCTCTTGGGAGAATTTAAAGATGCACGTGTCCAAGGAAAGCTAAACGTTGGCGAACACCTCCGAATTCAAAGAATCAGTAGAGACGAGAAATGAAGCGGGAAGTCTGAATCATTGCCGAATGTTCTGTCGGCAAGAACCTTCTCCAGGTTGAAAAAAACATATATAACGATGAATTGCCTGTCAATGTTATTGATTCAGTCCTCCTGTTATTTTGGTCAACGTAGGCTATTTCTTCCGCTCGACGCCTTCACGTTTCCCTCCTCCTCTTTCATGTTTCTTGGATTCTGTTTGTGACCAATAAGGATAAAATAATATTATAGGATGAGTTGAATGAGTAAAAACATTTTCAAAAAGAGTATAAAAGATTGAAAGTCGAATGCAACATTAGGGAAGATTGATACAGATTTCTACTTGTATTCCAAGCGTACTTTGATTTCGGTTGAGGAACTCGCTTTTGAAATTAGCAAACGTAGCGTTCAGGCCAGCGCGGAAAATTGCTTGGAAACATTTCCTACCGTTGCCTCTTGAACGGCTTTGCACAGGCTACCTACCAATGCTTTTGTCTTTACATTCTGTTCACATTCTGTTCTGATTAACTTTCTTCTGTCAGGAGATATTCGAAAGACCATGTTAAATACTGACTGAATAAGAGCGTTTCTCATTGCAGTTTATTTAAACGATTTTAATTGCTGCACTTTGAAACTCCAAATTAAGATGTTAGCCATAAGACCAGCAACTTAATTGTACACAACTTGGCCGAAATGCTTTCGATCAAGAAATATTCTTTTCTTGACCGAGCTTGAGACGAAGGTAGCTTTATATTAACCAATTCCGTTTTTTTACGCATTTATGATATGAGACGAAGTGGAAGTCAATAAGAGAGCAAAACAAAACGGGGCCAATATCCAGCCATCTTGACCGAACAAACTTCGTTAATAATGGTCAACCTTTTCTCGCAAAACCAAAGCGAGAAATCGGGAGCGGGCAAGATGGGGCCATCGTAGAGTACACCACTCGAAACCATTGCGCGCTTCCACTGTTTTGTTCGTCCATCGGCGAAAAAGAATATTCTTTATGCAGTTCACGGTATAAAAAGTACTGCTGGTGACCCTCTCCTCACGAAGCCCATTTTTTGTCCGGATGATCACTAACACAGGCTGGGAAGTGTGAATTATGCTCGTGAACAGAATTTTTGGCCCATCATAGCTGTTAGGCCATCTTTATACCGTTTTTGTTTCCCCTTCTCGGTGTTGTCGTTCACTTGATAAACTGCTTTCCCATCATACTTTTCTCATTACTCAAAAGTACCTAGCCTGTTTCAGGCTCTAAGATAGTCGGGTACGCGTAATTGAGAAAGCGCAAACACGTAAATGAAACGGGAAGAAACTGGGGAGACACCTTTTCCCAGACACCTGTTCGACCGCCCTTCTTTTTCCAGATTACGCGGTCATATTTTCGCGTGCCTTCCTCATCCCTACTATCTGTGAGCCTGGAACAGGCTAAGAAATACCCTCTCCGTTATCTGTAATTACAACTCTTTACATGAAACTAGTGTTCTAATTAATCTCATTCATCGTGTTGGGAGGTTAACGAGAAGAAATTAATGTAGCATTACAACAAAAGCTACAACACTTTTTTCTGGCCAGTTAAATAACGGAAAATTGAAAAAGAAAATGAAAATTTTCAAAGGTTGGAATTTCGTAACCTTTTTAACTAGTAACGGCTTTCATTTTCTCCATTTTACATTTAACGACATAAAATATATTTTTACGGCTAACCATTAACTCTATCGCATTTTGAGGCCCTCTTTTCTTTTGCGTAGTTCCAGGTAGGTAGGTATTTTAGGTAGGTATTTTATTTATCCACATTACAAGGATGAGTACAAGACTCGTTTAAACGTGAAAGTGCCAAATTACTACAACCCCAGTACATATAAAAACGGAAGAAAATAAAAACAATAATGATAAAATAAAATGAAAAATAAATAAATAAATAAAATAAAATAAGAATAAAAATTATACGAAGATATAAAAATAAAAAATAAAAAATATACGAAAATCAATGATATTAAGAGGAAATCTAGCTATATATAACCCAAACTATGTACAAAAGTTACAATTACACTCAACTCCGGTAGTCGAGTTTACCTCATCCAGCATTAACTTAAAAATGTTAAGAGATGGAGCTCTCCTTACATAGTCAGGCAGATTGTTCCATAATCTTGAGGTGATGTAATGATATGGCCTATGCATAAGTCTACTGTTATAGGCAGGCTGATTAAGCTTGCAGAAGCCTCTGAAGTCATATTCATTATTACGAGATAAGAAAATCTTGTTAATATTATTGGGCCCCATATTGTATAAGGATTTGTTAAAAAGGGAGAGAGCATGAGAAAATCTACGATGTACTAGGGTCTTTAGTCCAACATAGGTAAGTAGGTCGCTATATGAGGTTGACTTACCCATTTTCAAAAGAGTTCTAATGGCGTACTGATTAGTAAGCTCCAGTTTATTAGAAAGACCAGATGATAACCCAGCGAACACTGGAGCACAGTACTCTAGGTGTAGCAAAATAAAGGCCTTGTAAATATTAACCATCACTTCTGAAGGTACGAATTTACGAACTCTCCTAAGAGCACTAACTTTAACATTAACCTTATTACAAACATACTTAATATGGGCTTTAAAAGATAGGGAGCTGTCAATGGTTAGACCTAGTAACTGCATATCGCGTACCACCTCCAAGGGTGGCCCAGTACGGTCAGCAAACAATTCGTAGGATGGCGGATTGTCACCCAAAGGTAACACTTTAGTTTTAGATTCGTTTATACTAAAGTAATTACACCTGAACCATGACTGAAGCACATCGAACTTGCTCTGAATTCTTGACTCTAACACATCTTGGTTAGGGTGTGATAGATTCAGTGTCGTATCATCAGCATAAAGCCTTAGCTTAGCATCGTCGACAGAATAAGTGAGATCATTAATGAAGAGGTTGAATAAAAGAGGCACCAATATTGATCCTTGAGGAACGCCGTGTTGGACTGTTTTCCAGTCTGAGTAGGTGTTTCCGATCTTAACACGTTGCAATCTATCACACAAATACGAGCGAATAAGATTTACCGTACTTTCGGTAAAGCCATAAGCTTTCAACTTGGAAATAAGTAGGCTGTGAGAGATTGAGTCAAAGGCCTTGGATACGTCTTCTGCAATCGCAGTACAATGATCCTTATTATTCAGAGAAGCTCTGAAATCATCAGTCATTTTAAGGAGAACAGTTGCACATGAGTCGCCTTTCAAATAAGCCAGACAGACTATCACTTCGTATTAGCTTTGCAAAGTCAAGCATTTGGTCATGTAGAACTCTTTCAAAGATTTTAGGGAAACATGTTAACACAGACACTGGACGATAGTTGACCTTATCAGTAGGACTATCCTTCTTGTAAACGGGGCTCACATTGCTATGTTTCCACAAGCTTGGCCATGCATTTATGGTTATGCAGTGGTTTATAAGGTTAGTAAGTGGAACTGTCAATGCCTCAGAGGAAATAGTAAGAACCTTTTGTGATATTTTATCTGGTCCAGTGGCCTTCTTCTCAACATGGCGGAAGGACAATTGCAGATGATTACGTCTCCGACTAATTTTATGGACACTAAGGCGATTAGCAAAAGCATGTTCAGACAAAATAGGACTATGAGCAGCAACACCATCTATGAAGTGTTTGTTGAAAATATTACCTATTTCCATGTTGTCAATAATCAACCATCCTTCCTCCAAACGTTGTATATGTTGTTGTTGAGTACTTTTGGAAGGTAATAAGGCTTGAAGTTTTTCCAGAATTCACCAGGGTAAGCACATTCAGCAGAAGCCTGGATGAAATAGGATTTCATAGAAAGAATGTTGCCATGGGTGACCTGTGAAAAAGCCTATGCGTTGATCGTATTATTCTATTTGAAAAGGTGAAGCAGTTCTTATTTCATATTCTATCACCAAACATTAGGCAGCAGCAAGAGAGGATAAAGGGGACATAGAAAGCATCCCCTATACACACCCTATTCCATAGGTAATTCGTCTCGAGTTATTTTTAAGACCATAGATCCCAAGGGGGACTAGACATCAGCCAATTACATAGTGCGAATGTGTTCCGCGTGGATGACCCACGCTCAGAGCCACGCGTCCTTCACGAATTGACGCAGAAAAAATGGCAGAAGACAGGGAGAGCGATATTGCTATTTGTTTTGACGACGGAAACGACTAAAGAGAGATTTCTGCTAAGGCTGTGTCAGCGAAACGGAAATTAAAAAAGAATCGCCCTTCCTCTCTTGTATAGAGCTAACAGTACGGCAGGGAAATCCTTAACACACTGAATATTCTCTCAGGATCATTTACAATTTACAGTTTATTATTCAACAAAAATAACACTTGGCGTCCTACTTGCTTTATTATACAAACGACCGGTTTCAACAGACTGGGGCAATTTCTCATTTTATTAAAGCACTGAGGTTACGACAACTTCGAGTTAAACTAATTTCAGTTGTTGTCAAAGAGTCCAGCGATTCCCTTTTCCCAGGTGAGCGCCGACTCATTTGGCTTCAATATTCAGAATGCTCTCTATCTCTTTACACTTTCATTGCCTTTCGCCCGACATGTTTTGCACGGCGTTTAGTCATGCGAAACCTCCACGAAACATCCACGCAGCGCGCGAGGTAACTTTATCCCGATTCTAAAAATAACTCGAGACGAATTACCTATGGAATAGGGTGTGTATGGGGGATGCCTTCTCTGTCCCCTTTATCCTCTCTTGCAGCAGTCAGTTTGTCTATAAGTTTAAGTTTAGCACTATCTTGTGTGAACGTGTGATTGTGGTTAACGAGGGGTAGCTGTTGTAAGAGCTGAAAACGTTGCCTTGAGTATATTGCTTAATTAAATGGTTTCAAATAATCTTCAAAGAACTCTTGTCCTCTTGATCCCATCGCAACCAAACTTGTTATTGAATGCCTTGATGTGCTACTGCCTTCGATGATCACATCACATCTTTATTCTGGATACTTTCCCCGTGCTTAAAAGCGTGCTTTGGTACGGCCCCTGTTAAAGAAAGATGGTTTAAAACTCGTCTTTAAAAATTACAGACGTATGTTTCAAGACTTGTCGAGACTGCAGTTTCTAAGCAATTACAACATGTTGGCCAATAATCTGTTTTCAGCGTCACAATCAGCATATCGTCCGATTCACAGCACAAAGACTTCATTGCTGAGAGTCACCAAAGAGATTTTTCTTAATATGGACAATCAACGTGTTACTTTGCTTCTGCCACTAGACTTAAGAACCGCTTTTGATACCGTTGATTTACTCTCTTGCATCGGCTCCAGTTTTCATTTGATATCCAAGGAAAGTTCTCTCTTGGTTTAAGTCATATTTGTCGCAAGTATTTATCAATGACATACTCTCTAATGAGTTAGGCTTGGAATGTGACGTGCCTCAGTAGGAGCGTACCGTCCACACACGCACCTACGCCCGTGCGTACTTGTACAGCTGAAATATGGAAAAATTATATACTTTTTATTTCCTTGGATTTTTCGCACGATATTGTCGTTTAATATTGCATAACTCTGATGACGTCACTGGCCTCTTTTTTCCATAAACACTGTACCCTGTCGACAACACTAGAGATGGGTAAATAAACAACTTACTACTGCACTTTCCTACGTATTAATTTACTAAAAATGTGCGGAAAACGCTGGAAATAGCATTTCCGAGACCCTAAGGTGAAACATTTTCTGGGGGAGCATGCCCCAGTCCCCCCTAGGTTAGGCCACTTTCGGCACTACAACGTTTCTTCCCACGCTTGCGTACACCTTCAAAATCTCACGTTATGCTCCAAGGTTCCCGTCTAGGTCCCATACTGTTTACACTGTATACTAGTAAGTTCTTTGAGTTTGCCAAAACTCATCTGCCTGAAGTTCATTGTTATGCAGATGATACACATGCTCACATTTCTGTTATTCCTAAGCTTAAGTCAGCGTTAAAAAGCATGGAAAATTGCTTGTCGGATATTCGTTTGTGGATGTTGAATGACAATCTTAAATGGAATGACGACAAAACTGAATTTTGCATTACTGGCACATCACAACAGCTGGAAAAGGTCAACATCACGAGTTTCCACGTAGGGTTTGACTGTAGGCTGTCCATGTCGAAGCATGTTATAGAGATCTGCAGTTCTTCATTCTTCTATTTGTACAACATACGCCACATCAGGAATTATCTCTCACAACGCCAACCGAGACACTCATTCATGCATTCGTATCCAGTTGTCTTGACCACTGCAACTGCCTATTATATGGCCTGCCTGGTTCTCACTAATTAGCGACAACGTGTACAGAATGCTTGTGCTGATTTTTAATGAACACAAATTTTGTCATATAACGCCCCTTAATACACTGTTACAGTTAACGTTACCAGTTGCACTGGTTACCAATTGGATTTAGAATTGAGATTAAAATTCTTTTGATTATCTCACTTTTAAGATTCTTCAAGGCTTAGCTCCGTCTTATCTCTTTTTCCTCTTGGGCGTCCATCGAGATATAATCTTAGGAACTCAAATGATAATCTTTTACTTAGTTGTCCCAGTTTCATATCCAGAGCAACGCTTGCGATAGGTCCTTCATTTACGCTGCTCTAAGGCTCTGGAATCCTTTGCCATTTGATGTCAAATGCGCCAAGTTTGTCGATGTTTTTAAAGAAAAGCTTAAAACACACTTATTTACTTCAGTATTTTTATTATCATAACTTAAATCTATCTTTTTTTGTATTTTACTATGTATTATCTTATTGTACATTTTTAAATTTAAACTACTATTTTTATCTATTTTAATTTAAGTCTTACTTTCTAACTGACTGTCATGCGCATTTGAACATTTTTATGGAAAGTTGCGCACTGAATGTATTATTGTTATTTATTTTGAAAACAGTTCTGCTGCAGTTAGTTTGACGCTGACTGCCCAAAAGGCAAAGATTGACTGTACTGTAGCGCTTTAGAACGGAAATAAATTCTGACCTAGTAATTTGCATTATAAGTGTTGAGTTTTTGTCCTTTTTTCTTATTTAGCTTAGTTGTCTGCAAGCCAAACAATGAAGAACGTCTTGATGATACTGGCTTTAATAGCCATAGTTGCTGCTGTGCAATCCATGCCTGCTGGTAAGTGCTATAACGACAAGAATACTGGTCAACTATGGCAAACTATTTTTTTTTTTCATGAAATAACATTCATCAAAACAGCTTGATTCGTTCTTTGATTGGCCTGGCGATTAAACATTCTTAATAAACTAAGGTTGTTAAAAAAATCTATCGTTAACCTTTTTAACAATAAAGTATGAATTCGTTTATCAGAGTATTTCCAACAATATCTGGATAAAACTCAACTAAACTTGATGTTAGGCTGTTGTATCATGTGTATCAGGTAACTATTGACTAAAACTGTTTGTTTTTTAGACACTCATGATGCAAAGGCTCGTAATTACGTTCCAGAAAGCGCTAATGCTACAGACCCAGGAGCAGCTGAGCCATCAGAGGCTGACAACGATTCAACTCAGAGTGAACCTGAGCCCACTAGTGAGGAAGCCAGCAGTGATGTAACGGAACCTAAGGAAGACGAAACAGCAGTTGCTGATGACAGTAACGATGACGATCTTGATGACGACAGCGTTGACGAGAATGACGAAGATGACGAGGAAGATGAAGATGACGAAGATGATGAAGATGACGAGGATGATGAAGACGATGAAGATGATGAAGACAATGAAAGTGATGGCGATGATGAGGACGACGGTGATGACGAGGATGATAGCGAGGAGAGCGATGAGGAGTAGTTGCAACAAAATTACGTGGATTCTGTGTTTAACGAGCTCTCCAAGTGTACAAAAGGCCTATATGTATGATGCACCTTTCCTTTGTGAATCGCATAGTGTGATTCAATAAAAATATGATTTATTGTAGTGTTAAAAAAGGGTACGCTTTTTTCCCGTTTTTCTTTTGCATCTAAAAGGTTGGGCAGTTAAATTCGTTGCTTTTTAATACTTTTCTGTGCTTTAAAAGAAATGGCCTCTCGCATATATACTTTCTACGAGACCCAGATGCAGTTTTGTTTGTCTGCTGGCAATGTTTACGAGGAGAAAGCGCTAGGAACTAACTGTCGCCAAAACAGAAACTTTTAGCTACCTGCCTCTCATTGGCCAATCAGCAACATGCAGTTGTCGGTCACTTCCGCTCACTATACACCGACACCGGATAGGTTCGTTCTTCATAAAGCTGAGTTTCATCGCGGCCCCTTTGTCAGATAAAATCAAGGAATTGTGGGCTGTGTGGTTTATACGCATATTGAATGGTGGGGGTACGTTAACTATTGATTCAAACATGGTAAAACAAACATGAAAGAAAAAAAGAATTAATGATGAGATCGAGAGCGCCAATTTGAAAAAAACATCATCCCATTTTCTCAATTTTTTAGACGCCAACAAATAAGAGGACATGTACCAGGTTTTTTAAAAACGTGGCTAGACTGACTCTGTAGTTAACACATTGGTCAACAATGTGCTCAGAAGATAAATTGACAGTAAGCACGACACTATTCAAAAACTCCACAATTCACCCTTACATTTCACCCTTCACGCTGTAAAAGGTGTCTTTTTCAAACGGCTCAATTTTCTCCAAAATGATCGAAAAAACCAACGAAATATTTTCACATTTCCCTTTTGTTTCATTTTAACATGACAAAACATAGTCAGCATAGCGTTCTCTACCAGACACTTTTGCACGCGCGTGCACATGATGCAATAGACTTGCTACAGGCCAAGCCCACAAAAAGTCTTCCGAAAGTGTGAGAATGCAAGATTTGTCGTCTCATTTTCTGGGTGGATAGAATTCAGGCCAAAATAGTCTGTTAAAATCACTGAACAGTTTTTATGCATTTGAGCAAAATGCCCTTTTAAGTCACATAGGTATGAAGGGTCCGCATAAATTTGGAAAAACAGTGAATCTTGTAACGCGGAGTTTTGGCAGTTTGACTTGAAATTTCAAGGTTTTATAATTTTGAAGACATTCCTGTAATTACTAGGGTGTTTCACAGGCGTTCTTTGTGTCGTCAGGCAACGCTCCTCTCCTTAATTAGCTGCTGAGAATCGAACCACCTTTCAGCATATTATCCAATCAGGTTTTAGCTTCCATTTTCTGGAAGGTGTTCGCAAAATGTTAACGTTGTATTAATCTTTACTAACAACTAGAATGGTTGAAGATTCCAAACAGTTTTAATCTCTAGTATGGAACTACACAACATTGCCGAAACTCACACACTGACAACTATGTGCACATGCGTACAGGAATATCGCTGATCACAACACAACAATACAAACAACACACAGAAAAAGGGTTTCTGCAGAAAACAATCAAGCATCCAAAAAATGCTATGTGTGAAAACTGAAAACAGTTAATGTTTACAAATGTCAAACATTGGCCTTGAATCATATGGTCTACGTGAAAAGAGGATAGTTGATGTTCAATGTCCACAAATGTTAAACATAGTCCTTAAATCGTAATGGCCTCCGTATGACCCTTCCACTCCTAGTCTTGTATTGTTCTGACGTGTCCATAGAGCGATCGCCTGAATGATTTCTCTCTTGCTCTTGGGATGCTGAGACAGGTTCCTCCACTACTGGGTTTGCTTGACTGACTTGTTCCCTGCAAGGTGAATTTCCATTTACACTCCCTGATGGAGGTTCATGAAAATGTGAGTCATCTGTCGATGATGCAGGACCACGGACTGAGTTTTGAGACTGGCAGGCTTGACTGTATCAGATGAACGTGTAGTGCAATTTCCTCTTCCATGTTGTTGATATCTGTTGCATCAGGGAGCGGTGCGCGGGACAGCATGTCTGGGAGTACTAACTCCCTTCCGGGCTTATATTCTAGTGTGTAGTCTTACTTTTGCATTCTGAGCAGAATTCTTTGTAGTCTGGGTGGTGCTGTCGCTAAGGGCTTCTTCTCAATGATTTCTATGGGTTTGTGATCTGATTCTACGTGCACTGTCTTTCCACACGCGTACTGGTTGATTCGCTCCAGGCTGAACTGAACTGCCAAGCAAGAGTTCCTTTTCTATCTGAGCATATCCTGATTCAGCATCAGTTAAAGATCTTGGTGCGTAAGCCACGGGACAATTGTCTTGCAGTAAGACTCCGCCGAGGCCTGTAGGTGAGGCATCGCAACTGAAGGTTACTGGTCTTTGCACGCCAAAAAAACTTCAGAACGGGACCTCCATTCTCAGTTAAGACACTCTTAATTTCTTGAAAGGCTTTGTCTTGTTCATGCGACCACTGAAATTCAATGTCCTTTCGCAGAAGCACCCTTATGGGTTCAGTGACAGATGCCAGATTGGGAATGAATTTTCCGAGGTAGTTGACTGTACCGAGCAATCGTTCAACTGCTCTCTTGTCAGTTGGTGCATCGGGCTTGATCCCCTCTTGTGTAAGTTTGTGACCAATGTAGGTCACTTCCTTGACTTTGAAGACACATTTTCTCTTGTTTAGTGTCAAGTTAATCTTCGTACATCGATCCAGAACTGAGTTTAGACGACAGTCATGTTTCATTTCAGTGTCAGCGTGTACAATTGTCATCTATGTCAGTTTCCACACCTTCCGGGTCACCAGAGTGCTGACTTATTCGCTTCTGGAAAACTTCTTGAACAGATGTAATGCCAGGTGGGAGTAGAATAGCATATGGCGGTACGAGCACACTTTTCCAATATTCGTCTCCAGACAGCCTCTCTCATGCATGTTTATGCCATTTTCATCACCTTTCTAATGCATTTTTCTCACGGATTTTTGTGCTGGTTTTTTTATTTCGCTGCTATGTCTACTTTTTGATAAACTGTGCTCGTACCCCCATATCATTATTTAACGCTACGTCTACTTTTTAATAAACTGTCCTGGCTCCGTCATGTATTTTCCAGGAATTTGACCTTAACCTTAGCCACACTTATTTCTTGGAATTCTTTTGCTTCACCCATTTCTTGGAATCCTACTGCCGCACCTTTTTTAAAATCTCTGCTATTTGTAGCGGGTCGTGGGACAGAGCCCCATATTCATAAAATATAGTCAACCTCTTTTTCTCTGGTTTTCACGTGATTGACCGAGCGTACGTACGTACGCGTCTACAGATTGTACGGGTGGAGTAGGGGAGACCATCAAAAGGAAGGGAGGGGTGTCAGGCGTGTCTTGGCAAATCCACATCTGTTATATTGGACACTTGCGATATGGTCAATTGACAGCTTTCAAAACAGGATAGCCACTGACCAGTATCACGTGACCATATCGTGGGCTCATGTGTCAACTCATCGAAGTGACGTGATTTATTTGGAAGCTGTCCGCTGACCAGCTAATTGTTTTACTAGATCGCGATCAATGTTCAATATCATTCTTTCTAGCTAGTTTGGGAGCACTGCTGATAATGGACACATATTGGACATCAATGTTGTGATCGGGGGGTGTGATGAGCTCGTCAATCGCTCCTATGGGGATCGCGCGGCGGATGATCTTGGCCATCGTGACGTCACAAGAAATTTATCCCGGGAACTTAAAATGGTTTCATCGCGCGAAATTATTTCGTGGTTTCAAGAGGTAAAAGTCGAGACGTTGCGATGAAACGACCGAAGGTATGTGTTTACCTATTAATGCTATATAACAAAATTGCAATTTATTCTAGGAAAGAGCATTTCCGTCGTAAAAAATGAAGAACTTCCCGAGATCGACGAGATGATACAACTGATACCGACGCGTCTTTAGAGACGCATAACTAAAAAGCCCAGCAGAATTTAGTCTCGAGAAAAACAAATGACATTAATAAGGTATAGGTCTCTCAGTTAGTGGTAGAAGTGAGTCCTCTAATAAGTTAGCAAAAATGATCAGTGGTATAAAAGTCGCAAACCTCAGAGATGTTACAAAAATTGCGAAAATGGCGTAGGCAGGTCACGAAACATAGCGTCATGATGTTCATACTAGACTATCAAATTGTCTAAACAATTTGTTAAAACTAAGCAAATGTAAGAAAGGAAGAATTTGGGCTATAATCTTCAAGGATTTTGAAAGGATTTTCTTTTTAAGTCAAACGTATCAAAAAGTTAATAAAGCGTATTAAATCAAATCGTCGCGCGATAACCAAGGATATTATTATAGCTTAGTAGACTGCAACTTTTCACTATAAATTACGATAATTACGAAAAACATTCATTTCTCATGATGGAGATAAGTTCACATTGCCTTTCTCTTTGCTTCTTCGCCCCACAAACAAAGGAAAACATAGTTTTTATCCGGTAAATAGTCAAACAGAATCTATCACCAGGGTAAAGTGCCCTGAGCTAAAGTTTTTTTTAGGGCTTTATGCAGAGAATCCAGAAGGAGGATCCGTACAAAGGATGGGTATGTAGCTTTTCCTTAATCGCTTTACAGAGTAAATAGAAAACAAAAACTAGAAAAAGCCAAGAAAACGGACACCAGTAAGCGTTTCAATGGTGTAATATTGAAAATTTGTTTCCTCGGGCGTCCGCATCTTAAAAATGAGGGGGGAAATATTGCTAAGGATATAAAAAATTGCAGGATTTTCATACGATGAATATCATCACTCTTCTAACACTTTTCAATATAAGAAGAGACTTTTTTCTGTCACATTTTTTCAGTTTTCCTTTCTGTGTAGTTCAATAAAGACACCAAAGTTCAAGAATGACAATATAGTTCAATAACAACTACACGAGTTCAGAAAATGACACGAGTATTAATGTATGTTTATTGTTATGTATTGTTTATTATGTCGCGGCAGGGGATCT